TTTCCAAATATGTTTGATGCTTTAAGATTTTATGGCTCCCACAGTCCGAAAACATAATTTTTTAGAAAGTGTAACATATAGAGGCAATGTTTATACTTGATACAGCTGATTTTTCAAGAAAATATCAGAGGTCGAAAGGACACAACAACTGCATTGTGGGTAACAGCTTCAGTCCTCGTATCTGAAAAGTTTTCTTGTTGACAACACGTCGCTCTCTATATCCTCCCCTCCAGGCTGCATTCGGCTTCCACAGTCGTCCACAGTGCTTCTTTCCCCGGTGACCAGTCTCAGCCCATCATCATCTCTGACACGCCGAGTCCCACCGTCAGCATCATCACTATCCACAGCGACTCGGAGGACGAGGACGAGACGAAGGTCATGGCTGCCTGGTGAGTTGAACTTGAGATGCAACACAAATACGCTTTGCATGATCCATGCTTTACATGAACCCTCAAATATCCAGAGACAGTTTTGTTTATTTTGAGTTTAGGACTTCAAAACCAAGTGATGTGAAAAGTAAATGGAGGGAATTAGAAAGACTTATTTACGATTGAAACCAGGTATTACCATACATCTGCAACTGCATTTTGTGACCATTGTAGATAGAAAATAAGGAGTACCTTTCTGGCAAAACCCCCCCCAAAAAAACAGTTTTTTCCTAAAGTTTTTTTTTTGTTTGTTTGTTTTCAGAAATTCCAAACTCAGAAATTTCCTTGTTTTATTTCTAGAAAATTTGTGAGATTGATTTCAAAATTTCAGTTTTTTGCCAGAAATGTATTTCTACTTTTTCTCCTTGTCTACAATGACCCAAATATACTGTTGTGTATATATCTAAGAAAAATTTCTTTTTTTTTTCTTCTCACTGAATTTAAATCAGGCCAAACCTTTACTCTTTTGGGTGAGTTAGAATTACCAAAATTATTTTTATTTGCTAAGAGCCTGAAATATAGCGAGAACATTTTTAAGACGTTTCTTTTCTTTGACTTTCTTTGCGTTTTGTGTTTAAACGTACATTTGAGAAGGAAGCTAATTTAACTTAGCATGATTTGTTTGGATTGTTTCAATGTAAAGAATATTTATTATTCCTAATAACCTACTGATCTCTGTAATTAAAATAAAGTTTGTTTTAAACTTGAAACAAAGTTATTGAAATTGGGGAAGTTTTTGCTAAAAATGTTTTTTGTCATCAGACCAGTCAGGTGTATGATGTGAGTGTGAGAGAGATTTTTCAAAACATACAATTTTGTAATTTTTTAGTTTATTCTGCTGTAGAATGTCAAATACAACCAGAAGACATGATTAATAACATTAACAAATTATGTTGAGTAATAGTGAATTCGCGCTGTCTTCTTCAGTTAATTTTAATTGTTTTAATATCCAAAGTGTTGGTGCTGGAAAAGTTAGACAACTTGTCTTCAAAATGTTTCAAAAGTGCTTGAGTTCTCTTGTGAAAAAAAATATACGAATCTTGTGAATGGTGCTTCACTCTTGCAGCTCTGGAACGAGCCAGAGAACAAACGTGATCAGCTGTGTGACGGTGCACGACTCCCACGACTCGGACTCTTCCAGCACCAGCAGCCCTCTGAGCCCTGAGACCAACTCCCAGCCCTCCAAGTCCCTGGCCGTCGTTATGCCCTCTGTGAAGCCTCCGCCTGCTGAGAGTGCAACCACCAAGCCAGCAGCAGCCCCAGGTCCAGTTCACCCTCATATTTCTGTTATTTATTAAGAATACACCATTTATTTGAAATATTCTAGCTACAGCTTATATTAGCTTACGGTGACAAATGCATGTGACCAATTAATCAAATTTTTAGATTTTTGGAAAATCTGGATTTTTTCCTCTTTTTGCATTTTTTTTTATTTTTATGATGAGCATGTTTTACAGCTTCAATTGATTTGGATTTTTAATTTAGGTCTAGTCCATGACAAAGTATTAGATTTATTTAATTCAAATACGAGAATAAAGTTGTGATATTTGGAAAATATAGAAAAATAACAAAAAAACTCAAGTTATTCTGGCATAAGTTTTACAGATAATATTTTAAAACATTAACATCAAATTATTATCAGTAGAAGGACTTTGAAATGATTATGCAAACAACTGAGACTATTTCACACAAACTGATGCAGTCACGTCAGATCCTGATAACTAACACACAAAGAACGATTGAAATGAAAGACAATTTTGAAAATATTTTTGATTTAAGAAAATTGATTGAATCGGATCTGGTATCTAAAGATTTGATTTTTAAGCCATGTTGCCCAGCCTCTCAGTTGCCTCTCCGGCTCTGCACCAACAGATCCTGCAGTCGGAGCCTCCGCTAAGTCCAAGAAGGCGTCGGCTCAGTCGTCATGCCGATCAGGAGATTCCAGCACCGATCGGCATCAGCGCGCAGCATCCAGCAGAGCTCAACCTCTTAACCTCAGTCAGGTAGCAGCGCTTACAATACCATCATCACAGTTATATTCAAACTGAATATAATTCAGTTATTCACAACCTTCAAGCTTTGTCACAAGGTAGTGCATAAACTTAAAAAGGAAAAAATTCCATCCATTTGTACTTTAAAACTCCTAAATAAAATTGAATTAGGCTAATTAAGAAATAGGCATGTCATCATAACAAATTTTGGTGGATGATAAATTGTCCCAGAAGTTACTGCATGCTCGTTTTAAGATCATTTTCAAGACGTGCAATAATAACGCAAGCACAACCTCTCAAAGAGCTGTAAACTTTAATTTCGAAATAAATTTTAACATCGTAACTGGGAGACATTTTAAATACCACAAATACATAAAATAACTGAAGCAACAAGTAAAATGGATGATGAAGTCGCTATAAACAAAATTATCTTTAAAAAAAAGGGATAATTGAAACCAAAGCACCAGACTGAAGGCTTTATTTGTGTTTATTTGTGTAGCACATTTCAGCATCAAGGGAGATAAAAGTGTTTTACATCATAAAAAGCAAAAAATTAACAGTAAATCATACAAGTAAATCAATAAATCATACAATTGGAAATGATCAAGCTCGTTTTTAATTTGCGTATTTTGTATTGTGAGGCCTACTGAGAGAAGCAGCTTCCTATCTAAAACAGTTCATTATGAATTTCAGGTGCAGCAGTCCGTGATGCCGTCATCCCACAGTCACACAGGAAGCAGTGGCTCCCTACGCCGTCAGCCCACATGCCCGCCGCCCGTTTCCTCTCACTCCTCCTACCGCCTACAAGACGCCGCCCTTTTCAGCTCCACGCCGAACCTGTACACCTATCCGGCCTCAGCCGCCCTGGCCTCCGTGTCCCAGGCCGTGGACCAAATGCAGGGCGGCAGGCCGAGCGGCGCCTACTCCTCCCTGGCTCTGCTGCAAAAGAACGTGGGTTTGGCACTCGGTGGGTCTGCAGCCGGACAGTACAGCAATCCTCAACCGCAGCATTTTCACCGTTCCAGTGCTGCTTACCAGAGAAAGCTCAACCAGTTTCCCCCGTACCTGTGACGACTACAGCAGCACTCTCCCATAATCAAACTGGGTCTGGAGATGAGCACAGACCTCGTTTCTGTGCTCTTATTTTAAACATGGCTCCATTTTTATTTTAATCTGCTCCACTTTATTTCTCCTGCATCACTGTGACGAGCAGTATTCACAAACTCGGCTGCCTTACAAGGGCAGCTTCCCTTTTTATTTAAATATGTAACGTCTGCACATTGTGGTAAGTTGGATTAAGATGTTCCAGTCATGAATGTAGTGTGTATGTATTTTAAATTTTAATCGAAAAAAAAAAAAGGTAACTTACTGTGCTGTGTACTGATGTGTCAGTGTTTTATATGTGACTGAATACAACCTTTGGGGTCAAAGGTTAATTGTATTGAAAGATGCTGTGTGTTATGGATGAATTCGGGACTTAAACATCCTGTAGAGGCCACATTATGGGAGTAGATCTCAGCATTAGTTTGTAACCTGGTTCTTCAGTCAGATTTGAAATTTATACAAGTGTTCATTTTTTTGGAAAAATGTTTGTTTTTGTTTTGTGAAGTGGTGTCTGTGAAGTAAACTGTCCAAATGTCTTAATTGGGTAGAAGTCTGTGGGGAAAAAAGATAACTCCATTTGATTGGACGCAAACTTGACGATTAGCGAAAAGATAAATTAATGTTCAGATGTTGCTATTTGAAAGCGAAGCATCAGTTTGTTAATGTGATGGCTGTCTGTGCAACATTAGAGAGAAACACAGTGATCCTGGACCTGTATGTATGCAATAAAATCACAAAAATATCAATCTGCCTCTGTGATTTTATACTTAAAGGAACAGTTCAACATTTTTTTTGTAGAGTGTTATAAGCAGTAAATATCTTACCTGTGGTTGTCATCTTCAGCCACTAAGATGTTTGCGCTGCAGAGCTGCACTGGTGTATTTTTCTAAACATTTTTTTAAAGTTTAACAAGTTGAAAATGTTTTTCTCTGTAATTGGTAGTTAATTTCCATACTGAATTGAAGACTGGGACGTTTGTGCATTTTGTTTCTACAAAGAATTTTACATGAATGTGGAGTAAGTATGAATCTACAATAGTGTATGAGGGGCACTGAATATTTTTTTAAAAAGTACATTTCCTCCAAAAATAAAATTTTGAGCTTAAAAGTTCTAAAATAATATCAGAAAATTTCTGAGTTTGAACAGAAACTTTTGGCAAAAATCAAGTGATTTGAAAAGGGCATTAATGAAAGTATATAAAAATTAGTGTTGAACAACTACAAGAGAGCCTCACTTAAACTATACATTTAAACTTGTATTTAATACATAAAAAGATACATGTGTATCGGTGTATAGTCAAAGTAAATCTAGAATGTTGTCAGTTTTATAATAGAACAAAAGATTCAGATTTCATGAAAAATGCACTCATTTTTAACTTAATATGTTAACTACAGGATTAATACAGATTGCTAAAGCTTCTTTTAGCAGTTAGTTTCTTTACACACGCAAAAAAAATAAAGCCATTAAAAATATTCAGTTGCAATTTTTAGTTGATAAATGTTTATTTGTTGTACATTTTAAAAAGGCGAAACATTCTGTTATTATAAATCTTATTTTACAATCGAATCAAGGACAGCACAACCAGCAGCAGGATCCCAAATGCTCCATGTGAACGTTCATTTTTCTTGTATTCATGCATTTAAAAATAATAATAATAAAAAAATACCCAGACAATTTCACAGAAACCTGAATAATTATGAGGAACCAACACAAGGACACCCAAAGTAAATAAGTGCAAGGCATTAAAACATTCAAAATTAAACAGGTCAATAAATAAAATCCATCTTCATCCACATGAATAAAAGTATAAAGAAGTTAAGCTGCTTTTAGAAAACAGCATCCCCATGTCTTTTCCATTATAAAAGAAAGTAGACATACTGCATTCAGATGCAATTTATTTTTCTGTTCATCAAAGTAACAACCACTGATAATATATTAATTTATTAACTGTTTTTGTAATTTGCTAGTTTGAATAAAGATCTGTGTGATATATATATCTATTTGCATAAACATATATAAATTTACTGATGCAGCTTTTAGAAACATTAACAGGTTTTTAATCAATCCAATCATTCCTACTGTGACACTTACAAAAAAGCATCAGAAATCAATTTTAGAAAAATACTCAAAGCAATGACTTATTGATGAGACTAACTGTCTATATTACATCCAAGTAGCTCTGCTCTCTCCAACACACATATGGCTATGCAACAAATGTCAATATTTACACTGTATACAGACATGCTGGCGAAATGACTGCACCAGCCAACACAAACAGTACCATTAGGGCTAAAATTCATCATATACACACAATTCACAATTTAAGAAATTTATTCGGAGAAGACAAAATCCCCAAATTACCATCTGATGTTGCACAGAAAGTACTTCATGTTAACTTTCAATGTTTGGGGGAAAAAAAAGCCAGTGATGGGATTAAACAAACTAAAGATCCAGACTTGTCCCTGAATCAGATTTAGGAGGTGTGTGTGTGTGTGTGTGTGTGTGTGTGTGTGTGTGTGTGTGTGTGTGTGTGTGTGTGTGTGTGTGTGTGTGTGTGTGTGTGTGTGTGTGTAGAGGTGGGAACACGTTTGCAAGCTTTGTGCTCAAAATTCCTCGTGCACGTTTTTGGCGTAATCCATGAGCTTGCTGCCGGTGAAGTATTCGCTGTACCGCAGGATTTCTTCCAGCTCCAAGCGGTGGTTCTGGTTCTCGTCTGCAACAGCAATCATCTGCTTGGCCTCGTTCAGAGCGTTGTGCTCGTTCATCGGGTCCATGTACTCCTGGGAAACAGAGGCGGGAATATTTAGAACATCATTTTTAAATTTCGAGCTATTAGAGCAAAATTATAGAGAAGGAATTTTGAAAACAGTGGTGGTGGCCACCATGACCTAAAATTATAGTTATGTTAACCCTGAAACATTAGTAATAAACATTAATTGCACCAATACTAAAGTGCTATAGCAACATAGTAATCAGTGAAAGATAATGTTAAAGCATTAGTGTGAATTACTGCAGATGAAAGCATTTTTATTTGCCTTCTGTGACTCACCTCCAGCTCATTCATGGTTACGATGCCATCGCGGTCCGAGTCAATGACTTCCTCAAACTCCTTCTTTCTCTCTTTGACCCAATCGTCATCGATATCCTGCCCCTGCTGGTTCTCCACAGTGCCAACAGGTAAAGAAATGAACTCCGACAGGGTCAACTTCCAGTCTCTGTCCTGATCTGCAGGAGAAATACAGGACACCTTTAAATTACACTCGACATAGCTTTAAATCAGGGATTCGCTGATTCACTTTGTTCACTTCTGATACCAATATCTAGGCTTAGTATCAGCCGATACTGATCCCTTTGTTATACAGTACTTACTAAAACCAGAGAGCATTTCAACATGTAATATTTTAACTTGATTTATTTATAGAAACTGAACCAGTCAATCCTTTACTAGTGGTAGAGGTTTAATTGCAGCACCAAAGCCAATCAGCCCCCAAAGTAAAAAAGATAAAACATCTAAGAACATTAAAAATAAGCATTTTTAAAGATTGCAGCAAGTCTGGTTCCTTGATACCAAAACAAAACAGCCTTTTACATTTAATTTCCCCGTCAGTGTTAGCTCCAATAATGACTTACAGGTTTATGTAACAAAGATTTAGAAAATGTTAACATACCCAAGTCTCGCACTATTTCCTTCACCATGTATCTGAGCATGCCTTTGCTGTGCTCAGGGTGGAGGAAGGAGAGAAACTCTTCTTCATCCAGCCGCTGGTCAGCAGGAGGATTATCGGCTTGAAACCAGCGGTCCTTTAGGCTCTCCAACACCTCCTGAGCTGCAGGGATAAAAACAAGAAAAACAGTTTACAACAAAGATTTAAAGCCTTTCGTCATTTAACACCAAAGCATTAAACCTACTTACTTTCTTCGTCCAGTTTCAGCTCTTCCTTCTTCTTTATTTTATCAGTAACCTCTGTTTCATTAAAACCTTTGCTGGCAAGAAACTTGACTTTGTACTCATTCCATGTTACGTAACCTAAAAATAGCAAAAACAAACACCTATTTAGCTCCTGAACACATTTTAAATATTTCTCAATCTGAGACCTCACCGTCCCCATCTGGATCAACGGCCCGGAAACTGTTCTTGTTCTCCTCCATGGCCTCCTTGAAGTGCTCCTTCGTCTTCTCCACGATCCAGTGCTGCATCTCCTTGGCACTCACACTCCGATCCTTGTTGACGTCGACTCTGGAACGAGAGAATTCACACACAAAAAAAAAATAAAAATCTGAAGTCTGAACTTTTTCTCAAGCTTATAAAACAAAAATAGATCAGAGTTCAGTGAATATTCTATTGACATCATCATATGTTTATATCAATATATATTGTTATTGATTTACTATCCCGCCATAGTCAGATGAATAAAACTTTGCAGGGTTGGTCTACTTTAATCATCAGAATAAAATCAAATTAGCTGCCACCCTCGCTTGATTGCACCTTTTACATCACCGTCATTACTGCAATTTGGCGCCGTTTCTTGCCATGCTGGTCATTTTACTACTTAATATATTTGACGTTAATGTGGACACTCCACTGTCAGCAATTAACTGTGTTTGCCTGCTTGTATAAACCTGTTTATTCTGTCGAAATGGCCAACATAAAAATTAGGACATGAGAACCAAGCAAGCTGGAGGAGCAGTACCTATCTATTTTACGTCTCTTCTTTCTGTTGGTCGTTCCACTGTCATCCCTCTACAAAACACTCTTGAATTCACTAAAACACTTTGTCATATTAGGATTCTCTTAAAGCCTAAGATGCTTTGTGAATAAATTTTACCTTACAAAGGTAAAATTCTAAGAAAAATTTGCCAAGTTTATTTGTTCAGCACGTTTCAACAAGGCAGTTCAAGTGCTTTACATGATAAAAACCTTACAAGCAATTATGAGACACACAACAAACATCACATTTTGTCAAATGCCATCATCAAAATCCCTAGGAATAGTTAAATTCAGATTATTATAATTCAAAATTCAAATAACTGTCCTTAAAAGAGGCCAGTTGGAGCTACTTTTAGTTTTTTTTTTTTTGAGAATACAAAAATAAAGTTTCTTTGGTTCAAGATTTCATCACTTAACTGTCATAACTGTCAGTTTTGCAGAGGTGTAACACACACTAAGAAAACAAGACACACCTCACACTGTAGAGGTCCGAAACGCAAGTAGTTACCAGAAGTGAAACATTACTCTTTGTTTGTTTGCTCTGCAGGTCGTTGTTGCACTCCAATAAAACAATTCTTTCTTCAGCTAAAATGCACAAATCTCATTTAATGGCGTCGTCTGTTAGAAATCCATGGAACCATTTAGGTTCCAGATGTCATCACGCTTCAAAAATTTGTATTTGTTTTCTATCTTTGGTAGAATGACTTCAGCTGAATTTAAGAAAAAGTTAAAAATACTTTTTTGATTCTAAGTTGCCATATCAATTAAAGGTGAACCAACACAGCAGGTTTATCTGGAATGCAGATGTACATGTGTGGTTACTGAGCTTGTCCTTTAAACTTTTCTCCACCATCATGTTCTGTGCAACATAAAAGAAGCCTGAAGCGAGCAGAACTGTGACTCTGCATTTACAAAACCACTGTATTTCTGCAGAATTCAAATATTGCAACACACCCAGAACTAGATTCCTTGCAGCATTTTGTAGCTGGTTTTTATGTTGCATAACTGACCTTTCTGCTGTTTTTATCTCATCAGTTATCTTTCAGCTTCCATTGCTGATTCCCCCTATGAGGGACGGTAAAGGATTCTCTTTTGTTTCAATGTTGAAATATTTAGTAATTTTAGCCCTGACCTTCAGTGTTAAAAGCAAACTGATCTCATCACGCCGAGCTCAGAAATGCAGAGACTCCAAGCTGTCTAGAGAATGCCAAAAATACATTTCTTACTTGGTAAAAATCTCAATGAGCTTCTTCCTGTTCCGCCGTGGCTCTGAATCCTCTTCAAAGTCATCCATCTCCTTCCCCAGGAACACTTCCTGGTGGAAGTCCTTGTTGAGGTGGCCATCCATTTCCATCTTTAACCCATTCAGGTGGTCAGGTGGAAGGATCTCGTTCTCATCCTTTGTGGCTGGAGACTTATCCTTGGAGGATGACATGTTGGCCGGACGCGCGTGAACATCTAAAGTCAGCAGGAAGTAGAGGAGCAGCGAGAGAGCCAGGAGGTTCCTGGACCACAGATCTCGGCAAACAGTCATGATCACTTCTGCAAAAACATGAAAGCAAAAGCTTAACCAGATCAGCTTTGAGAAATCAAACAAAAAATATATACAGTTTTTAGAAAAATAAATTGAATCATCTCTAGAGATGCCTCAGAAATTTAAAGAAACTATGGGTCAAACGGAATAATTGTGATTAATCAATTACCGAAATAACTGTCAACTAATTTAGTAACTGAATAATTGTAAATTGGAGCTTACAGACTCAAAAAGACTCAAAAAGGGGTATTTGCAGAGCAGCAGTTAGGCCAAAACTGGACATAAATATAAAGATTCAAATGCTGTAAAAGAAAACAAAACAACAACAAAAAAACTTCTAACAATAATTAATAATTGCTATCCAATTATTAATCCAAAAAAGTCAACAGATCATCCTTGACCTCTATGATTAAGGCAAGCAAAAAAAGGGCTCTTAGTTGCCGTATAGCTGACATCATTCTTAACTGCGGACACCAATTTTTCCAAAATGTAATCATTAAACAGCTAAATCAATTAATTCTCACAGGCACTGACAATATACAAGAGCTCAGGAATAGGGGCAGGACAGATTATTATTTCTAAAATATCTTTGTCTAGTTGCAGATAGACATTGCAATTGTATGAATTCAATTTCTCCACAGTTTTTAGTTTTTTTATTATTATTTTCCTTCAGAAAGCTGGAAAAAAATCATATCTAATTCAATTCAAAATCTACGGCTGTAAAACTGAAAAGTGCTTTTATACATTCAAAAAGCTATAGGTGCAAAACAAATGTTTTAAGTTTTCTTTTTGTTTTTTGTTTCCTTAAATCTTTTAGTCATTTATGTTGTTCATGACAGATATATATTATTATTATTACTATTCTAATGGTGATTTACACAGTTAGTGTTCACCTTTTCATAAAATAGTTAATTGTATAATTTCAGTTTTTGTCGATAGTACATTCATCATTGATCAAACTGTTGCCTCAACTTCAATGCCGCATTCACGTCTGTTCGGAGTTTCCTGTACCTCCAAACGCCCACTGGAAAATCCCACTTGTGGACCCTTATTCAGGCTGTCTTTGTGTGACAGAAAAAAGCTTAAAAAACAAACAAAAAAGAAACAACAGCCGTGAAAAATAAATTTTAAAAACCTAAACACTCCGACCGTACAGGTTTAAACTAAGTAAAGACGCCTTCAATGTCTTGTTTGTGATATAATTTACAATCAATCGTTGATTTTGAACATTCGAGATGTGACGGGTTTTCAGCCCAATTCACAAGGTCAAAACTTAAACTGGTCCTCTTACTGTTTAGACAGCACTGCAGTAATAAACGACCACAAAAAGCAAAACAATTTTTGTAGCACGGAGTTCGAATTACTTTCACCGTAAGTGAAGTACAACCGTGGTCATTAGCTACTACATTAGCACCTTCTCTGTCAGAAAATAGTCTCAAATATCCTAAAATACCATTTGCAATGATAGTAAAAGTGACTTTCAACGACTCTACGGAACACTGGAAACACAACAGCAGCTAGCTAGCGTTGATGTTTGATAGTTCCACTGACCTGCGGTAAGTCAGTCAAGATGTCACTTTGCGATCCCGGAGTTAGGTGATCCTCCGACACAAACTCTCCAAAAAGTGTAGTGTAGTTCAGTCCACGTCAACATAAAAAAACACACGAAGAAGGGTGAAAAATGGTGTCGATTTCCCGATAATTTCCCAGGTGGCTCAGTTGAGCTGGTTAGCCGCTAACACAGTTCTAATGAATTATGTAGCCACTTGTATTCAGAGCTATCACTTCCGGAACAGCCTTTCAAAACAAAATAATGGTGAGTTTGAGTTCAAAAATTTGTAAATGGTCGTATAAATGTTAATATGATGAAAACTAACTATGTGCTAATGAAAAAAGATTGCGAGACATCCTTTACGTAAGAATTTGTTGATAGTTTTAGCTCAAATGATTGTTTACAGGCAAAGATCTCAGACAACTGTCGTCTGGCCTCAAGTTATGATATGAAATTTGAATTTGTCATTCTCTCACCACAAATTCAAATGATTGAGGCTTTAAAAAAGACAAAACAATCTGGCAGCATTGTTGGAGTTATTCTATTTTCTTCAATGTTTGTTACATGAAAACATCAATAAATATTAATAAATTCAAAAATATGGTTAAATGCAGTTAGTTTGTGCAGTTTGGTGAATGCACACTTATTTATGTGACTGGTGCAACTGATGTTTTTCATTATTTTTATCAAAAATAGTTCAATAAAATATTGTCATAACGTATCCAACCCTATTTCAATTTTTTTAAAATAAAAATAATACCCATGTCTTTTCTAAATGAATCATAAAATGAATGAAAATTAGTATCAAATTTAAACATATTTGAAATCTACATTTTCTTTCTCTGTCCAATTCATGTTCTGTTTTTCAGTAAAAGAAGTGAAAGCCTGCATTTTTTTGGTACTCTTGTTTTATCATGTAAAACGACTTCCTGTTTTCTGTTGCATTGATGAAACTTGAAATTGTACCTCGTACAGCTTCCTACTACGTTTTCCCAGCTGTGCCAGCGAATACAGGAAGAGATGACGCAGTGTGGCCGGACTGTACTTCCATTGGCTTCCTCTAGATGTCAGTATTTTCTAATTTAAAGGAGCAAACAGACCAAGCTGTCTGAAATTACAAGTTAGAAAGTGAAAACCAATACACAAATTATTCCAGAAACATAATGAAAAATTGTTGTATCTGGAAAAACACACTGAATTTCTTAAGATTAGAATTAAATTCAGGGAAATGTATAAACTGTGTGTGTTTTCTAGAGAAAAGTCAATGAGCATCATTAGGGGTTAAAAATAAATAAGGGCTCAGGATGGAATATGCTCCCATATGGATCTCTTTGGAAGTTTTTCTGAACTTGTGGTCACTTAAAAGTTTAAGTTTGTTTCTATTTCCATCCCAGATCTAAACACAAGAGTTTGAAAGAGTAAGCTAATACTGAGCCAAAATGACGGATACAATAATTCATACAAGCAACACACATAACTTTATTGCCTGCCAAAGAGCCTTCTCAACTCGACCATTACATCTATGAGATAAAACAGAGCAGAATGAGCTTGTATGGTTGCCAACAGAGAGGCAAAGCAAAAGAGAGAGAGCAAGGGAGACTTGGGCAAGGGGGTGGGAGGGAGAAAGGGAGATGATAAAACGCCACAGTGAGCCCTCCTGCAGGCTCAGAGCAAAGGAGCGACTCAGACCAGACTGAAAAAAAGGGCAGAGAGTGCAGTGGAGCAGGTAGAAAGCAGCCCGGCAGACTCTGAAGCAGACTCTGCGCATTGACTAGATGGAGCAGTGAGCAGCACCTGAGCGGCATCAGGCATCTGCTACCTGTTGAGTTTATTGTGGAAGCAGACAGGAGTGACTAATTCTTCAAGGAGAAGCATCAAAAGAGCAGTTCTGGACTTTAGACTAATTGATTTAAGTGCTGTCCTTGCAGCTTTTTGAAACTTTTTTCTTTTAAGGAAACTGATTTCTTTGGATCTTGCACCACTTTGTTGCATCCTGGAACTTCTTCTCAGTGTAAAAACCAGCAGGAGGGAAAAAAGAGAACTTAACCATCCATCTCCAGCGGCTCTTACAGCCCACCCTTTCTGCTTTGGACACCCCTCCTCTCTCTCTTGCTCTCTCTCTTTCTCACTTTCCTCTCCTCTTTTGCCCCCTGTGCCCTCCCTCAGTCACCTCACCTCCCCCCCAACAGAGCAGAAAGCGTGAAAAATCTCACTAATGGCTTTATTTGCTGTCAGTTCTGTGCCTCTCTGTCATTCCCCTGGACCATTCTGCTTCACACATTTCATAGTTGAGTAAGCCTCCTCGACTGTCTGGCTAGACTTAGCTGTGCCCCTGCAAAGGCTGTGCTGGCTTGGAGCTCATCAAGAGGGGAGGAAACACAGCAGCACCACTCAGTCTGAGAACTTTGTGGACAAGGACATTCAGAAACTTCATTCCTCATTAGTTTTTTTTTTAGGCTTTAGCATCTTCATCTTCTGTCAAAAAACACTTCTGGTCTTCAACTTCTCTGCAAGATTTTCCTCAGGCGCCTTGGTGCTGATTTGAAGTGTGAAGATGAGGTGTGGATGTGGCCGTCTGGCAGTGGTGGCTGCTGTGTTTTGGACTCAGTGCATTCTTCTGGACGGGGTGGAAGCCAGGAAGGAGCGAAAGAGGCCAAAAGAGGCCGCGCCGCAACACACAGAGGCTTACAATGTGACTCTGTCCAACAGTGAGGAGGTCGGCGGAGGCATCAAGGTAGGGAGCAGAGCTTCACACTGCTGGTCTTAAATCTGCACACTGTAAAACATTTTATTTGGATGGCACACTCCAAAAACACAAATTCTAAAATATTTTTGGTCTAGTTTCTGGTGCAAATATCTTACTGGACTTAAAATAATTCAAAACTAACACACAAGTAACTTTTCAACAACATATGGTTTGTTTTAAGTCAATAATTTTTCAATGTGGATGAAAAAGTATAAGTTCCACTGGAAGATTACTTCACGTATAACAAAGGAAAAATATCTGGCAATGGAATTAGTACTTTTTTGTCAAAAAACCTTCGGACACCCCTGCTCTAATTCAAATGAGAGTCTAAGGTTAATCCACAGATGTGAAGGTTTGGTTAGAGGAAGTAAAATGCGACAAAAGGCTGAAGCATCACAGGACAGGTGTGCCCCTACAGGTCAAGCTTCAGGATGTGTGACAGACGAAAAAAACGTGTGAATCCCTGAATGGATGACTACCGCAGGCATGCCAGGAATGTGGACATCTTAAGGCTGATCTGTGCATCAATTAGTACACGCTGTGGGTGTCTTTGTCCAATTTTCCAGCCCAAGTGAACAAATAAAGATGGTATTACTTGCAAGATATTTTATGCATTAGAATGAGGAATTAAAAATAGCAAATTTATTCATTAGATACAGGAACTACCAAAGGTATTTATGCCAGTGCTACAAACTATGTATTTCATTGGGATTTTATTTGATAGATGAGCACAAAGTAGCTTCAAATGAACAAGTTTGTACTCAATATTGTCCCCGCAAAAATAAATTCCAGTTTCACCAAATGCCTTTAAAAAGTTCCCTAAGTAGAGTCTAACTGTGTGTAATTTAATTTCTATTTAAATCCAGCTGTTCTGTAAAGTCTCTGAAGTTTATAAGAGAACATCAGTGAACATACAGCATCGGGAAGACCAAGTAGCACAGGTTAGAGGTCAGGGTTAAAGCTGTAAAAAATACTAAAGCGAGGCTATTTTAATAGAAACTATTCAGAAATTTACATATCTTAAGGAAATCAGTTGAGTCATCCAAAGATAGAAACAGAATGGCATAACTCCAAACTTACCAAGACATGGATAACTCTGGATGAGCTGCAAAGATGTACATCTCAGGTGGGAGAATCTGTTGACTGGACAACCATTCCAAACATGGAGGTGATGGCAGCATCAGGGTGTGGAAAAGCTTTTCTTCAAGAACTGGGAAACTAATCAGAGTGAAAGCACAATCCTAAAGAAAAACCCATTGGAGACTGTGAAAGTCTTTGGCAGAAATTCACTTTCTAGCAGCAAAATAACCCAGAAAATATATGTAGAAAATACTGGAGTGATTTAGGTCAAAGTATGTTTAGAAACTTAAATGTAGGTTTGCAGGGACCTTCAATTCTGTTTGAGCTTCAGCTATTTTCCAAAGCAAAGTAGGCAAGAATTAAAGAAGACAGAATATGAATGTACTCATTACCTTCCACATATTTAATTGTAAAATAAAAGAAAACAGAAAACAGTTTTGTTTTATATTTTGTTGATCTATTGCACAAAAAAAATAAATAAATAAATAAAAAAAATCCATTAAAATACAGTGAAGTTTGTGGTTGTAACCTGAGTGAAAAAATGAACTCGGCATTCATTTTAGTGAAAAAAAGAGGAGCAATGGTTGCCCCCCAACTTTATATTTTTGTTTTTCTTGTTGGTGTTGCATATTTCTGATGGTTTCCAGTGTGGTATTTATTTTGCTTTCAGCCCACCCATTATGTTGGCATTCTCATGTAGCTCTGACTGCCCTATACACCAGTCGTCACGTCTCGTGGTAACCCCTCCTCCCATCCTGAAACCACACAGTGAGGTCTCTTTTGTATCTTTAAGAACACTTTGTAGGTGGCTGTGGCCTACCCCTGTTTATTTGACTTGGTTAGCCCTGTGAAAGCAGCAGCTATGAAGGATGACCTTATGTCAGGCCCTGCAGCCTGTTGAAGATTGAGCCTCCGCGATGTCTCACCTCTGTGCTACGTCCTGCGCGGTGTCTTTGCAAACCCCCCTATCACCATGGTGCCTCACAGGATGTAAGGTGTCCCCTGGAAAGGCTAGGGAAGTTAGGTTGGAACGTGTTAAAATGGAAATTTTATAAAAAATTGACATTTTGAATGCTTTTGTACTTCCATTTGGGTCTCTGCTACTTCTAAAAACAGCCCAAGCACTTTAAAAAACCCACCCAGTTGCTCTGTGTTGCTAAGTTAATATTTTCTTGGTGTCTGGAAAATGGGCTGTTTCAAAAAACCTTCCAAGTATAACGTCACTAATAAAGGTATCACCACACAGACCAAAATATAAAATGCTGCTATTTTGGTATTGGTATTTGGAATATTATAGACCGAAATGAAAATAATTCATATTAATAACTTACTTACAAAATAACAAGATAAAACAAAAGAAACAACTTTGAAACTTCTAAAACTTTATTATAAAACTGGTGAATGCTTGGTGAAAACAATGGTGTTCTTCATTCAGTGAAGATACTTAGTGGGTGGAGTATCCAGAAATTTGAATCATAGTGATGATTCATAGTAAAATTACTCAACCAAAAGTAAAATGTACAGCATAATAAATATCCACCTAAAAGAACACTTTTCCAAATAAATCTTAATGACCCTTGGGTCGCAAGAGCTGGAAAAGTGTTTTATTGATGACCTACCATTCAGAAACATTTTGCTGCATTCTTGTTTGTTGTGCAGGATGCTCTACTTCTGGTTTTCAAAGATGTATGATTGTATAATTGCACATCTATTTGCAGCCATTTTCAAGTGTGGTGGGGAACCTTGGCCAGCAGCAGTTTATTGGATTTGAAGTGACAAGACACCCTTAAACATCTTGTTCTGACAGGCACTCAAAATAGACAGAACTGAGGAATCTAAAATCTCATTAGCTTGATTTTGTGCAAAAATATCAGAAACATGGTTTGCATAACTCATAGACCTATCCTAACCTGTTCAAGGAAGCATAATAGGTCACCTCTGAAAGTCCTGGGGCGATGTTGTTCTCAGCACATTGATTCTGTCATGCATGGGCCCAGTCTGCCTCCACTGTGTCTGGGATATCCGATAGGAGCGGCGTGGTCCTGAAAACTCGGGCAGCATGCCATGTAAGCCCCTCACAAAGCCCCGTAGAAAGGGCCCTGAAAGGGAACACCTCAGTGAGGATTAGGCCCGGGTGCCTCCCTCTTTTCCTTTCATCTCAGTTTCCACAATCAGACGTTAATGACATAATCACTCTTTGGGCAAACTGACACCTTAAATAGTTCTCAGACAAGTTTTTATATTTTGTTGTTAGAGAACCTCTACCAGAATGTATTTTATTGAAATTTTATAAGACAGACCAAAACAAAGCGTAAATATCTGTGTAAAATAAAGAAAATTATTTACTTTTAATTATTTTCAAGTAAATTTTAAAAGTGCAGGGTTGTCCAAAGAGTGGCCCTTGGAACAATTTTGTGGGGCCCGACTCAATTGCTGTTCAAGAATGGCCCTCCAGTGAGCACTTCTGTTAATTTTTGGCATGAAATTTTGAATGATAAATTTGATTCTTCTTCCTATTCAATTCAGTTCAGGTTTATTCGAATCCCAATAATCTTACATTATGAAATGAAAAAGACAAAGTCATAAAAATAACCAACAAAACATAAAAACACTTTTCTTTCTTTAAATCATTATTCTTGTAATAAACTTAAATTTAACGATAAATAAATATCCAGTTACTTTTTACTGAAAAACAAAAGATGTGAGGACATTAATTCTTCTATTAAACTTGGTCAATTGAAGGGTTTTTTTTTCTCCAAAAAAGTGGGGAAACTGTCTGCCTTTTCTTGAGACAAAAATTATTCAACTTTGATTCATTAAAATATTGCATGTTTGACTTATTGCTGAAACCTGAGTCATAACAAAATTATTTAGCATTTCAAGTTGGAAAAACAATGTGAGTCGTGAGTAATTTCAACTTTGGTATGCTGGCCATTGTTGCAAACAGTTTGGACTCTGCTGATCAAGACATTGACATGAATTTATAAATAGCTTAGGATCAGTCAAATGAAACAAACAGCATCTCTGAACTCATATTGTACAGCCTTAGCATAGATTCTCAACTGGATGTAGGTTTAATCTTTGACTGGGTCATTTTAAGAGTTAAATATTCTTTCGTTTAAGCTATAAGCATGTTCCCTGACACTACAGATATTTGCTGATAACACATTTGATTTATGTGTGCATGTGAGCATCTTTTCCCATGTTTACAGTATCCACTGCATAGTTTATGGCAAAAGCAAACTTTAAATGCAGTAACTCTCCTGTCAGAATCTCCCTCCAGAGAAGTGGATCTCTGCAGCTCCTCCAGAGAAAGCATGTATTTACTTCCTCCCAATTCACAATTACAGATCACTTTTTGCTGGTCTATCTTTTAAAATCCTACGAAACCGAAATGAAATTTGTGGCTGTAAAGTGGCTGAATGTCAACAAGGATGCATTGTTATTTGTGAAGGAATATGAAAAGTTAAGTACCATGCAATAGTATTATTTTGGTGAAATAAATTCTCTCTCACACACATTATTAAAATATGACAAACTTTTTTTTAATGCGAGTTTGTACGTTTATTCTCTCACACTTCTGCTAGGTCTCAGAGGAGAAACTCATCCAGTTGCGGTTGTCTTGGTGTGTCATGTTCTCTGACCAGCCAAACATTTACACCCACATTTACATTTTTTCCCCTTTGTGGCCAGTGGAAACCGTTCTAATGATGGCATTTCTATCTGACCAATCCTGTGTGTGGGCTGCTAACAGCGTCCAGTTGGATATTGCATTCTTCTGCAGATTTTCCGTTTGAAACGGATCCCAGCAGTCATCTTTGTAACACGAGGGATTCTTTTGTGTGCAGAACGAACATTTCAGACAAGCCTGACCTCTGTAACCTGTCGTATTCTACAGTTTCAGAGCA